AGGTGGGAAGAGGTTTGTCACTTATTAAGAGATGTGTAAACTTTTTACCACAACACTGTATTTCTAAAATTGTGCAAACAATGGATCTTGCTTAGATTATTGCCCAGTGGTGTGGTCGAGTGCATCAAGTAAAGACATGCACTTGTGAAGGATTGTCTCTGCTTTGTTTTATAAGAAATATTTCTGCGTCTAGAGTTCCTAATGTCCTGTACTCTCAGCTTTTGTATAGTAGTACTAGTCATAATTTTAACACCAGACATGGATACAAGCGATGTTTTTTATTTTCTGTTTCGAAAAACACTGCAAAACAACGGACTGTAATGTATAGAGGAATGAAAATATGGAATAATTTACCATTGATTAGGGCTGTTGCGGTGAAGGAATTTCCCTTGTGGTAATTTTGAGTGGCTCAATAGCGCGATATGCGGTTTTACCGCCATTTATTTATTTATATTTATTTGTTGCTATATAAATACGTGTTATGATGTGGTCAGCATAGACAAAAACAATGTAACCGAAACTAAACAGCGTCTCTGCGCATTGAAAGACTGTCACTCAGCGCGTAGTTACATTGTTACGCCAACGGACTGTCTTTGAGTGAGTCATTAAACCGTTCATTCAACGAAAACGTTCAAAAAAGCTGATTCCTTAAATGATAGATGTAATGAAACAAGGTGTTAATTATTTTTTAACTTTGAGCTCCACTTTTCAAGGCTCAGCTGGCCAGCAATGCTTCACTTTTGGGCAAAGCTGAAGCAATGCTTCACTTAATAGACCAATGGCATTGATTCAATGCGTGACTCGCTGCTTTCCCCTCACGGCTTCCTCGCGCTGTGCAATGCTGACGCCAATCATGGTAAATACCCTTACACGTTAAAAGGATGATACGACAAATATTTCGCTTTCCTTGGAAACGGCAACCTTTTCACGAATATACATGACTTGACTTCAAAGACAGACGCAGGTAATCGCACGCGCTCAGTCGATCACATTCACTGTCTGTTTAGGCTTAAGTCCAAATCCACGAAGTCTCTGTACAAATCACCATGATAAACAGTCTTGTTATCATTATTAACTTATTTAACATTCAATACACATGGTACGAACTACGAAGGGTGGCCTTATGAAAAAAGAAAACGCGGTTCGCGGTTGCTGCGGTTACTTGCATTCCTCTGCGGTTGGCCTGTCAGTAGCGCGGTATTGCAATATTGCGGTTATCGCGACAGCCCTACCATTGATATTACATATTTTTTAACAAGATAAATGAGTTAAAAAAATATTTAAAGGGACATTTAATGGCACAATATATAGTAAATTGTTGATTTTGATATTTGGAATGAATGTTGGGTTAGTATGTTTTTTTGACAGTTATAGCACCATGTCTTGCCTGATCTCCACCACTTTTATTAGGTGTCCTCAAAGTGTGCCCATACATATGTGTGTCAAATTTGTTGTAAATATCTAATTTCGTTTTGAAGTTTAGACACTTTTATGAGAGCATAAAAATGATCCATTGATTGAATTGTTTTGTCAGTTCCTATCATAATTTTTACATTTGTTTTGACATAATTTTGACGTTATTGTTTAGCTATTATGTTTTCAAATTTCCCGTGGTGGTTTTGTCTCGATCTGACTGAACAGTTTCGAAGATGATCGCAAGTTTTTTAAGCGCTAAATGACACCGTTACACAAACCATAAGGCAAAACCTGGCATGTTTGGTATCGCTGGACTCGACAAGGATTCAGGAGTTTAAGGAGATCACTTCCGTGAAAAACGCTGGCATGAAACTTCTCAGGCTCCTTCAGGGCATTGTGCTGATGATGCATACTGAATTTTTTGAGATACGCCAATGTTCTCATAGACTATCATTGTCACGGTGGGTAAATCCTATGTCTCATTCATGTCTCGTGTTTCTGTTGTTACATGTGTGTGTGTGCTGATTAGAGGGGCGTGGCTGCTCATCAGAGCTCATTCAGTAATCACTCATCACCAGCTGCAGTCTATCATCCCGGTCTATTTAATCTCACCCATTTCTCATCTCCATTGTCAGATCGTTGTTTGTGATGTCCGGTGTTTGATCCCTCTACGTTCCAGTATCCTTCGTTGTTCCTGTCTGTTCCCTGTGGATGTTCTGGATTCGTCTTGTTGATCGTCACCTCACTTCACCTGCACTGTATCCATCTGACCATCGAGTCCCTGCGCCACTTACCTGCCTGTCTGTGGATCGTGTACTGAGTTTTCAACCTTGCCTGTCTGTGGACTGTGTTCTGAGTTTTCCAATAATATTGTTACTTGCAATTGCTTCCGTAGTTCTTACGTTACAATCATGGCACCCTGGACAAAGAGTAAATGGGAATAGGAGCAGGCTTCACTCAATGATTAAACTTAAACTTTGAGAATGCTGGCCTGATGATTAGAATATATAAACAGGAAAGAGGCTGCACTATGCATAAATTGTTTTATTTGCACAAACGCGTTTCGGCGCGTGCCTTCTTCAGTGTGCACATATTTCATTTTTTTTGCATTTTTTTTTTTATGATTATTGATAGTCACTCTCAAGAGAATATTTATGCAGTGGTTTGGTTCCGATCAGGCCAAAAACCTAGGAGTATTCGCAAAAGTATAGGTTTTTGGAAAAAACCCAAATACCCGAAAATTTTCCCAGGGTGACGAGCAAATCCGACTTCTAAATCTACGACTTAAGGTTCGGTCTGCCCGATCAATTTTAGATGGAGAATGCTGCATCATGGGAAAATTAACAATTACAATGGGGTTTCAGCGTTACTGTCACAGTCTTCATCTGCACCAGTCTGTCTTTGTCTCTTCACTACACTTACCAGAATCCTCCTCGTCTCCACACCTGTATTCACTCCCTCACTTACCAGCCTGTCCCTCGTTATCATCATCTGTGTCAACTGTCTTCACATCATTATGGTTCATTAGTCTCTGTATTTAGTTTGCTTCAGTTCAGTTTGTCTTTGTCGGTCGTCGTCTTTGTTTAGTCGTATGTTGCGTGAGTTATACTGCCTGTTTGTACCTGCCTGAAGTTTATTTGTTAGTAAAAGTATTTGCAGTGGAGCTCTTGCCTTTTGTCTTCTTCTGCCTGCACCACGCCGTGACTAGTGATGGCCAAATGAAGCGTTTCGAAGCATTATTGCTTTCTGATACAATTGTGTCGAAAATGGTTCATTACTCGAAGCTTCATTCAGATAGAAATTGCAGCACCATCTCCTGGTGAAGTAAATGTAATGCAACAAAGCTGACAACCATAAAATGCCAGTAGGCTTATGTTAACGCCCCGTTTATGACGTGTTTACCGAGGCGATCAAAGCTGAAACAGTGTAGTGCTGTGAAACTCATTTATGTAGGTGAAGTTTACAGACACTGATGAATTTCATGTGTTCACCTTGATAATAAAACATTAAGCATGATGTGTGTGTGTGTGTGTGTGTGTGTGTGTGATTATTTCTTTGCCACTCTCCTCAACAATAAACTCAATCCACTCTCCTCAACAATAAACTCTCCTCAACAATAAACTCAATCCACTCTCCTCAACAATAACACCAATCCAAACACCGACTACTACAACCCACGGTGTTGCCATGGTTTGGCTTCACTTTTATAAGAAATACAGCCGCCAGGTTTCAAACCTGTCAACACTGGATTGGGCTGTCAAAGCAGTCAGGTGGTTCACTACAGGAGTGAAGCAGTTTGCTTCAGACGTCATTTTCACGTGACTAATGACGTAATGATACAAGCTCCGAAGCAGTGGTTCATTGCAAGGACCGTTCGAGTTTGAAGCAAGCTTCGGAGCGTCGGTGTCAGACGTAACATCACTAGCCGTGACAGCTACGCGCTTGAACCCTCAAAAATATGTATGTATATTTTATATTAACTGCAAAAAACAGCTTTTGCATGGTGCAAATTAAAATATTCATGTGGTAAGTTGTTTCAAAATCTATATAAAATATAATTTAATATTTGTTTTTAATGTATATTATACATGAGTAAATATATATACATTGAATTCTAATAACACTTTTTGTAATGTCTATAAAAATGTTGGTCTGCGTAAAAAAAAAAAGGGAAAAAAAGAGAAAAAATAAACTCACTGTTGAAGCAGATGAATGGCATGCTGGATAAGCAGTTCTCATGAGTCCATCGGCCTAAATGGCTGAATGATACTGCAGTACATAACTGAGAAAACCATTGGCCATTATCTAGTTGATGTGAAGAATTTGGAATTTCTGGTCTCCAGTCTTCATATTTGGTAATCTGACCGTTTGACCAAACCCTGTTTCTGTACAGTCCGATCCAGACTTCATATCCACCTGCTGTCTCAAGGATCCTCTGGTTCTCAGTCTGATTTCTCACATTGGCGAGATCTGTGTAATGATCTCTGCAGTATCTACGAGCCTCTGACCAGTTTCTCTCATCAGTGATTCTGATGTAACTCTGTGTAGCATTCACTCTACCTGTGATTTGAAATATACGACACATTTCATAGACGCACAGAAATACTCAAAGAAAAAAAAAGAAATGGCCTTACCATCAAAGCAAACGAATTGCAATGTGTAGTCACATGATGTATCATACCATTTTCCATTATTTTCCATGTATACACACAGTTCATTCCCACCACTGTTGTCTGGTTCATGATACCAGTTCCTGAAATCTCTCTCTCCTTCCTGATAGGAATCATTGTTTTCCAATGACCATCTCCAGCTGTTCACATCATCATACTGTCCAATCCAGGCTGAGCCATTATAACTCCCATTAACTGTGTTTATCAGACTGTTCATTTCCTCGATGTTATCAATGGTGGCCAGATCAGTGTAATTCTCTCTGCAGTGTCTCTGAGCTTCAGTCCAGGTCTTAGACTCATTCACAAAGTGATACTGGCGTGATGATGTCAAAGATGACACTGTGGAGAAAGTGTCAGATTTATAGCATTCAATTTTTTTTGACAGCCTGGCCATTAAGACAGATTTCTACTCACCAGTGTAGCAAATGAAAGGAAATACATAAGTGCAGTTTTCATCTGCCCATTTCCCAGAGTCGGTGAATGAGACTACAGTGCAGGATCCTGGAGTATCTGGCTGTCCTGTCGTCCAGTTACTGAATGAAGAGTTGCTCTGATCTGACCAAGATCTGGTTCTGTACAGTCCAATCCAAACATCATAATAATTCCGAAATAAATACTGAATCTTCTGATTTTCAGGCTCATTCCTGATACTGACGAGGTCTGTGTGATGTTTTCTGCAGTAACTCTGAGCCTCAGTCCAGGTTTTGGACTGGTAAATAAAAACATAAGTATCACTGGCGTTTTCTCTTCCTGAAAGATATTAATATCATATTAAGCTCAGAGAGAGGTTGGTTTGGTTCTTTTAAACTTTTGTTTACTTTCTTAGACATTCTATTGACAGCTTACCATCATAGCAGACAGTAGGATAAAATGCATTGGAGCAGCTTGTTGTATACCATATCCCCATGTGCATATACACACACACACTTTGTCCTCCATAATAGTCTGGTCCTTGGTCATACCAGTTCCTGAAGTCTTTCCCTCCTTCTTTGAAGAAATCATTGTCCTCTAGAGTCAATTTCCAACTGTTCAGATCATCATAGAGTCCAATCCAGGCCAACTCAATGGAATCATTATTCACTGTATCCAATAACTGGACAGTCTGTTGTTCATTCTCAATGGAGACCAGATCAGTGTATTTATCTCTACAGTATCTCTGAGCTTCTGCCCAAGTCTTGGATTCATTCACAAAGAAATACTGAGGGACACTCAAGGTGAAGGTGATAAAACCTGTGAAAGGCAAGTTTATTTTTCAAATGAGAAAACAAGGACCAAATGGGTCAGTGTACTCTATTCTGCATTCTGACTGCATTCTCTGACAGTGTACTCTAACTGTATTCTCAAAATGGTAAAAAAAAAAAAAAAAAAAAAAAAAAAAAAAAACATTACTGCATTATCAGTCACCAGACAAATGCTGAATGCAAAAATGTCAATTTACGATTTTGATGATAAAATATTTCATGTAAATCTTTGTCTTACCTGATAACAGAAGCAATGGAAACATAGCCTCTGGAAACATACTAAGCACATGTAAAACCTGTGATAAATAAAACAATCAAATTATTTGTTCTATTTTCACTATTTATTACTTTAATGTTTTAAATGTCGGGACGACAGTTTACCTTTTGATTTGAAGCTTCTTTTCTCTTGCTCCTGCTGCTTCTGTTATAGATTACCTAAATGTCTTAATATTTATAGGGTGGATTAAATATGGGTGGATCACTTGTATAAATTCATGTGACACAAAGAAACCTGTTGAGTCATTATAAATGTACTCTATGAGAACCTTCCACATGTTGTTACATGAAACTAGTGATTAAACAACAGTTGTTCCACCTTTCTGAACTTGTGAGTGCAGATGTCTTGGTTGGTTTGTGGACATAATATATCAACAAAATCTGTGATGCACTGCAACACTAAGCTATGGAAATATATTTTAATATTTGATACAACTGCACAAAGTGTCAAGGCATTTCTCATTATCATTTTTAAACCATAAAGTAAAAGAATGTCTAAATACCTAACAACTCAAGACTAAATCATTTATTCCTGCAACTCATGTTTTGATCAAGGCGAAGAACATGTTAAAAAGAGCCTATGCCTGAATTCACAGTAAGCCTATTCATCAAACAGTAGAATGGACAACATGCAACATTCACTTGACACACTTTGTCAACAATACTTAAAAGTTCAGTGATAGTACAAAAAAAAAACTAAAACAAAGTGTAACAAAATCCAAACCGTCGTTCAGTAATGCTGTCCATCCCGTTTAATGGGCTGGTTTTATGAAATGCATGGTAAGGTTGCCGGGAAGACCTCACCTTATAAATTTGACCTCACCTTCTTCTTTTATAAAGACACTGTGCAGTGTTGAGCTCCCTGCTGTCCTGGGAGAGTTAAACTATCTGTTTGTGCAACATCACCTGGAGTATATGGCAGACAATATAAGAGCTGCTCTGACCACAGTCTGTATCTGTGCAGACCAATCCATACTTTATTACCATAATACTGTAATTACTATCTGTTGACATCCATAGGTCTGATCTCACTCATGGCCCAGATGACTGATGTCATTCCATCTCAGTTCAAATTATTTGAATGTCACAGTATGGAAGAGCTTGAGGCTGATGCGTGATCAGACTTTGGTGTAGATTAAATGGGACATTAATGATTGCTGGACAGACTTTGCATAATGTTTATCCAGTTTAAAACTGTATCCGCGTAGGCCTATTTATCAATCGAGTCGAAAAATATATATTTTTAGATGACTTAAACAAGTGACATAAATTAATGAATGAATGAATGAATGAATATGAATGAATGAATGAATGAATGAATGAATAATTCGAGACAAGAAAATTCTGATTTCATGATCAATATATCTGCCTACAACTGCTGCTGTGTCTGCCAGCGTTTAAGTCATGCGCACGCGTGCATAGACAATTCGTGCGCAACTGCGCATAGTCGCGGACTCGCGGTAATGTTAAGGCATGTCACAAAAAAGGACGTATCCCTCTGGTGCCGAAAATAGAAAGAAGAAAAGGACAGAGGAGGATAAAAAGAGCAAGATAAAACTATATTTGCATGATTATTTACGGTATGTTTTGTGCAGCAATTGACCCATTCCTATCTACGGCAAGCCCCGAGGGGAAAAATACATTGCATACACACATATACAACGAGCGCCAGTACATCATTACCGGTATTATAGTAACAGACTTTGTTGGATTCTGTCATGTACAATCCAACAAGGTCTGTTACAATAATAATCAAAAAAAGTTACACTGTATTAAGACAGTTGAGAAATAATATTTTTACAGTTTTCAACAATAATTGTCATTGTTGAACCCTTGCTCTTATTATGTTTCTGATTTCTCAGTTTTGTCATTATTTTAGCAAATAAATTATTTGATATGTTTTGAGTTTGTTTTAAGAAGTTTCAAAGAGTTAGTAAAAGAGTAAAGTAAAAGTTAAAACTTTTTTATTTAAGTAGGCTATCTATTTTTTATTAAGTATTTATTTTGTATTAATACATAACCTCACTGCAGTAATTTATAATGTATCATTATTGCGGGATATTTGTGTCAATAATCGTCAAGCACAGGTGACTCCGCGAAGTGGGAGGGGGCCCCCAAATCAAATTCTGCTTAGGGCCCCCAAAAGGCTCGGGCCGGCTCTGTGTAATATGTAATATCCTAAGCACATTTGTGAAGAAAGGAACACTTATACTAGCAAAACAATCTATTTGCAAATTACCATAAATCACATTGATACATTTTACAATCCTACTAGCCTGTTATTTAGGGTAAAAAAAAAACAGCAACTTTTTTTTTTGAGTGACACTGGCACTCACTGTCATGCTGATGCATATATGCCACTGCAGTAGACACATCTTGCAGTTTTAAGGTTAACGATTAATTGATCATTAATTTAAATGACAATTGGACATGGGAATTTGTCCCTACTGCAAACCTCAATTATAAACTTAATAATGGCAGTAAATCACTTTCACCCAAATAAAACAGAAATGAAACAAAGTGTATAACATTTATTTTATTTATTAAAAATAAAGGTGTGCTTTCTAGTTATTTTAAAACTGTTATGAATTCTCTGTTTCCCCATTCTTTGTGTTTTTGGTTTAGTCCTGTTTCCCGCTCCCCGTTATCTCTATTAGTCTTCCCAGGTGTCCCCGATTAACCACGCCCCCTTGTCATATTGTTTAGCTTGTTTGCCCTTGTATGTAAGCCCTGTGTTTCAGTCCAGTCCTGGTGAGTTCTTGATGTTGTATTGTTGATGCTGGTTGATCTGTTCCTGAGTCCTGTTCAAGTTTGGAGTTTGTTTAATAAAGTTTGCTGCAAGTGGATCCTGCTTCTTCCTTGTCTCAACCACATCGTGACAAAAACATTCTATCTCATTTTGTGTTATATAAATGCATTATATTTTTCCCACTGTAAAACAATCTAAAACTACCAAGTAATGTTGTAAGTAAATACACATTTGCTATGCTTTTCTTTAGGATAGTCATGGTAACCTTGAGGAACTGGAACAACACACACACTGAGGATTATCACGAAGGTGGCTTCATAAATGATCCTTTAGAGACTGGAACTTTCTTTTTGTCACATTTTTTTCAGAAGTACTACACTGGTAAAATGTATGTGTTGGATTTACTTAAAATATATATGCATCATTTTTGCATCACACTTTAGCTTTCCATTCAAGTTCTACAATAGCTTTATATACACAAAAAAATGTTTGATACTTTTTTTAATGATGATTTAAATTCAACTTGATAAAATACACAAAAGATGACTTTTTTAAAGGTACTTTACACATAATAAGTTCTACCATATCGCCCTAAAGAACCGTTTACAGTAAAGTTGATTTCATTGTGAAATTAATGATTTAATTATTGAAATCACTATTATTATTTGCAATAGCCCATTAATATTAATAAAGCTTTTATTTTGCATTTGTTTTACATTAAAAAAATTATGTTGAACACAACATTGCTGTCATACCCAACACTTTCCTTTCCATTTGTTTTCACATATATTTTCCACACATATGTTCACATGTGGATAACATATCATTTACAAAAGTCATGATGTTAAAAAATGTTGCCGTTTCAAAACAAGTTGAGATACTAACAGCATGTGACAGTTTCGATTGTCACAGATATATCTGACATATCTCAAACAGAGGTCAAGGGTAACATTGCAAACAATGGTAACAAAATGCAAACCACTAAACATACGAGAACCAACAAAGAACTGAACATAACAGGGAGTATTCGGAGTAAATACAAGGCAAACATAATGACAGACAGGTGCAGATTGTAATGATGTGGTTGAATCATAGGAGGAAGCAGGATTCTTTAATTAAATAAACTCAACTTCACAAATTCAGCCATAGGCTCAAGAACAAGACTCTGGAACAGGAATACAGGAATAGGTACCCTTACGAAAAAGAAGTATACTTCAAGTTAATTTTATGAAGTATACTTAAGTAATGTTCAAGTATATTTTTAAGTATACATTATAAGTATACTTATGTCAATATGTTCTAGTAAACTTGTAAGTGTACTATTTTAATACCGCTTGGGACTAAATTGACCCACTTTTAGTATATAAAAGTATGTGTACTATAAGTGTAACAACTGTAAGTGCACAACTAGTTCATAAATACGTTTCTCATTTGTACTGCAAGTGAATGTATGGGTATACTAGTAGTTTTCTTTTTTAATACTTGTAGAAAATGTTAAGTTCACTTAAAGAAAACTAGTAGTTTACTGAAAGTTTTCTTTAAGTAAACTTAACATTATACTTATAGTTTACTATTTATATATTATATTTGCACTTGCAGTAGGCCTATACTACTATGTTGACATATTATTTTTTATACTTGAAAAAATACTTTTAACTGTACTTTAATTTTAAAAAACAAACATTTTATTAGCTTCATGCATGCTTTTTTTTTATCAACACTTGAATGTTGGTAAGTTTCATAAAGAAAGGAAACATTTTAAACAAAAAAGTTGAGAAAATCTAATTTTTGTCAAAGACTACCCTAGTGAAAAAAAAGTATATTTTATTGTATTTGTAATATATTCCCTTTTTTAATAGTACATTGCAAATATACTAATAAAAATGTACTATTTTTAAATATACAAAAAGTATATTAGCAGCATACTTTTGACTATTTTCAAAATACAATTTTTAACACACTTTAAAATAATTGTAATTTAGTATATTTTCTAAAAAATATATTTTACAAAAATATACTTGAAGTGAAAGTTCTGTTTATTTTTTATAAGTATATTTATTTGCACTTTTCTTAAATATATTTTATGCATATTTTTTAACTATGTGCTGGAAATGATCATTGTAACAATGCATTGAAAGTATACTTTCAAAGTACATTATTAAATAACCTGAAGTTGTAGTATATTTTGTTAAATTATGGAATTTAAGTGTATTTCTTCATGCTTGCAATTCAAGTAATAAAACATATGATAAA